TCTCTTTTAGCGCGGAAGTTGCCAACAATGTTAAAAAAAAATCGTGAATTTCATGGATTCGAATAAAATAAAGCAAGCGATTGATAAGGATGATTATTAATATTTTCCCCGATGCTCTTCGAATTTTTATTTTTTTTTTATTTCAAGGTAAGAAATGGCTAGTTGAAGTTGCATCGTCTTTAATGCCGTTGTTTCACCGCGAACAACTCTAGCTCCAAGTTTCATTGAAATGTGATCATTACTACTCGAAATATCAAAAGCTGAAAATTAATTAATTATGCAAATTAGGTAATTAATATGTACTGATATTACCCTAAACACTACCAGGTCTGTGCAGTGTCATATGACATCTATGTACCAAGTTTTATTGAAATGTTATGATTAGTACTTGAGAAATCAGTGGAAAAGCCGAAAATTGATTAATCATTATGTAAATTAGGTAATTAATAATATTTTTACCCAAAACTAATCAAATCTGCGCATTAGTTCAGAGCATCCATGTGCCAAGTTTCATTGAAATCCAATGAGTGGTTCTTCAAATATCAGTGGAACAGTCATGGAACAGCTTGAAATCAGTTAATTATCATTCAAATTAGATAATTAATATTCATAGATTTTTACCCAAAACTAATCAAATCTGCGCACTAGTTCAGAGCATCCATGTGCCAAGTTTCATCAAAATCCAATGAGTGGTTCTTCATATATTAGTGGAACAGTCTTGGAACAGCTAAAAATCAGCTAATTATCATGCAAATTAGGTAATTAATATTCATAGATTTTTACCAAAACCTAATCAACTCTGCGCATTATCCCAGAGCATCTATGTACCAAGTTTCACCAAATTTGATTAGTGGTTCTTGAGAACGGTGGAACAAAAAGTGACATACATACACACATACATACAGACAGGGTAACTGCAAAGACTCCCTTTAGTGCTTTGCACACAGGAGTCAAAAAGAAACGTTGCTGCAGCAAACTGATCTAAATAAGATTCTAGTTGTGGCTTTATTATAATAAGTATTTAATAGTCTTATAAAAGTCCACCGTTATTTGTATTTATTTCCATTTAGAAAGAGTAATTGATAGGATGATAGTCTCACTTTACTTTCTTGCCCTTGAGTAATTATTGAAATCAAACAAAACTAGACATTCAGAGGCTTGATGTAGGTAGATTTTCTGTTAAATTGCCTTCACGTAGCAGAAATCTCCTCCCCCCCATTTCTAGTTTTATCTTTACGTAATACAGTATTGTAACCCAGTATCATTGAATTTGTATTATTCCGTTAAAGGCAACTCATTCATACAATGACACGATAGACTGTTAATGCACAGAATAGTTAAGCCTGTAACAGAAAAGTCTTCATTACTACGTTATACCATAAAGTATGTCTTCAAATAACATCAGAAACGTGGTATAAACTCATTCAGTGTCTGATTTTCAGAATGTTAATGCAACGTGTTTCAGGGGGCCTAAGAACAGTGGAGAGTAAGATGCACGGCAAATCATTCCAATAATAGCAAGCACACACATAAATATAATATACATGTTTTGTGATTTTATTACAAAAAGTCATTTGGGAGAGGATACAGAAGGGCAATATGTAAATTTACACATTGACATAAATTACTCAAAGTCACTTTGTTGATACAGACAGTCCATAGCAGAAGCAGACTGAGTTTGATAAAGATAATTTTCAGCAGCTCTGACAAAAAGTAATTAGAAAAACAGTGTCCATTTTAAATGTACAGATTCATATGGAAAAAAATGATTCACCAATATTTTCATTCAATTTCCTTGTGTTGCATAATTAGTGCCCATGATAGTTTGTGCATCCTCACAATAATCCTCTAATCTATGGTTTTTAATGCACTGACTTTGGGCTCACAACTATTCATACATGAACTATATACCAAACATATTTCCTGAGAGACAATGTCAACCAATCCAATACTAAGCAATGAATGTAAAGCACTATCTGAATAATCAGAGGCAGGTTTCAACAAAGTAAACTGCTCACAATGGAATACCTCCAACACAAAGGCCAGGACAGCCTTACCGCCCTCACTACCAAAAGCAAATGATTAAGAGGTAACATGTCATCACCCTAACGTAAATGCAGGATTTGCAACACTGCTGTTAACATGGAAGGATTAAAATTATTTAACTTGTCTTATTTTGGGGTTTCTCATTAATTATTTCATTTATCGGTATTATTACATGATCGCTGGAAAAACATTGGTCACACAAAGATTATTAAAATCATAATAAATCAACAACCATTTCTAACCACGGCAAGTATGTGCTACAAATCACATCACTCGGGATTGCATGCTATGAGTACAAAACAATGTAGGTACTAGCTGTACTTGTAAATATGAAATATGGCAGCAGACTCGTACAGACTGCGACACGATATGGCAGCAGACTCGTACAGACTGCGACACGATATGGCAGCAGACTCGTACAGACTGCGACACGATATGGCAGCAGACTCGTACAGACTGCGACACGATATGGCAGTGAGGCAAACAAACAACACTGCTAGTTGTTTGCAAAGTCTTTGAAAGATAAAGTAAAGCTATACCTCTAAAACTGAAGTATTCATAGCTAAGCAATGTGCTCAAAGGAATCCCAAGATAACCTGATAATTAAAGCAATTAATTAATTAATTTGGGAGAAGTTCACATTCCTATTCAACAAAGGTCAAAACTAAAAAAGATAATTTACTTTGGCCATTCATTTTATCATCATTTTCATTATGAAAACATTGCATATAATTGTAAAATTTTTTATTTTTCATGAAAATATCTCCAAATAATAAGACAAAGGTCAGAGGGACAAAACGTACTTGAGTGAATTTCAATACACGCACCTGCTTACTTTTACGTTTGACAGAAATGACTACCGGTAATTAATCATTTTTTTTCAAATAAATAATCCTCTTTAGATTAGTGTACGAATAGATGCCTCTTTTGCAACATTTTAAATAAATCTTTTATAGGGTTTCAGTAAAACTATGTGGGTCGGATAGTGTATTTGCCTTTCTGTAACTGTGCTATATATAATTTTGATTTGCTTCCATCGTTGCGTTTTACCCAGACTTCCCCAGTATTGATGGCTGTAACTGCAGCACTGTCAAAATAAAAACAAAACACACATTAGAGTTGATACTAGTATTTACAATCTGGGCTTCCGCTCAAGATGATATAGTTTAGCAACAGCGGACAACACCATGTGTTTCTTAGCCACCAGTGAATTTGTTTCATTCACTTTAGCATGTAAATGCCACCAAATATGTACATGGCAGGGTAAATATGTTAAATCAATGAAAATATGCATTGTGTGGGTGTCTTGAACAAGTGCTTGCATGTACGGCATGCACTGAATTGCCTTGCTACATGTCACATCACTACTGGTGATTGTGGAATACTGTATTGTACAGCTAGAAGAAGCCCAGATGGTGGTCATACAGATACTGTGGAATACTTTATTTTCGCTGGAATTAATTTTCGCTGAAATAGCTTTTTGGGCGTTTTGTATGGAATTTATTTTCACTGATCTTTGGTGAGTTTAATGTGAAATATAAGAAAAAAAGTATATTCGCTGGATTTTATTTTCATGGAATCATCCCTTCAGCGAAAATAAATTCCAAGCGAAAATAAAGTATTCTACAGTAATTGAAATAAAAGGAGTCAGGGAAAATGCTGTCAAGTTTGTCATCTTATTTACAGCAATATCATTCTCAGATTCAATTACTTACAAAAGTGGCGAATCGTCTTTGTTTTCTATGACTATTTTACTTCCTTTTTGATACCAATCTCCTTCATAAAATAATTTTCCGTCTTCATACCGTGCATTGTAAGGATTCTTCTCAGTTCTGTACACATCTGTAAAGCAGTACATAGAGTATTCAACTATTGATTAATCATTAACTGACATTACCATGAGGGTATTATACATAATATATTGTTAAACTAAAACAATTGAAATTCACAAAAATAGTTTCAATAATAGTTGATCAATAATACTACGTAGTATGTAAATGTTCACGTAATTTATTCTTCTGTTGCAGCGCCCATAAGAACAAAAGTTAAAGCAAAAATAGCTGTGATTTATTGTGTAAACTTAACCACATATAGATGATCAGATCTTATTGAAATATTGTTTAAGGCACAACTGCATGGCAAAATGAGCAAATGACAAATTTCTCATGAAATGCAATGTAAAAACTAAAGGTTGAGTTGTTGAAATCTGTCACACTAATATTGGAAATGACAGTGAGAGGCTGTAAAAAAAGGTTTAGCCTCTCAAAATGATTATGTATTTGACATTTCACCCAGGACCACAGAAGTTGTACTGTAATCCCTGAAGTTCAATTGACACAGCTGGATTTCAATAAATGGCGCCCTCTGGGGATCTGGTAATAACCCCCATGGCTGCCTTTTTTTCATTGCAAGTGAATTATTCTACAACGTCATTATATAGCATTATATGCATATATTTTATTAAAAACAAAAATTAGAGAAGAAAGATAGATAGTTACAGCTATTAAGACAGTTGAAATCAGTCAGAATTACTAAATCAAAACAACATCTAATTTGTCACAATGTCACTTACGTTCAGTTTTCCGCCTGGCAGCTACTCCCCTTGCCTATTGAATGTAGAAAAACATACATAATCTCCCAAAAGAAGGATAACAATGACACACAGCATTTCTACATGTGCAACTATAATATTTGATACTTGACTAGTATTATTCTCTTATTAACAGCAGCGCCACATAACACTGTAGGCGTGTGTTTTCATAGATGATACAACACAGATATACAACAGCAGTTTTAGGATCATGTGTTCCATCAGAGCTATCAAATTTTAAATCAACAATTGTTGATAAAACAAAAAATTTTATGGACTCTTACCTTTCTAATTGCTGTCCAGTCTTCTAAAATATCTATATCTCTCAGCAAGTATACAATATATGGACGTGAATATGTCAAAGAAAACGCGCGTTATACTTTTGAAAGGCCTGGTTGGTGGTTAGTTAGATAATTTATTTTAAGAATATTTTGTTCTTTTGTATGATATTTTCATAGCGGGCTAGTTACAGTGTTCAGTAATACAGAGGGCAGACGGATTTGCAGAATCTATCAGAGTTGGGAACTGAAAAGGTTAAATTATGTATGCGTTCAAAGATTGTCAAAAGGATATCTGAGACTGAAACTGGTTTCTTTTTTTTCTCTCCCATCATAGTATCAGATTTTCTTCTACTCTTCTTTACTACTTGCGTATCATTCCAGAAGTCTGATGAAAATAATGAATAAAAATGAAAAATGTTATATTAAGGGCAGGATACAAGACATGTTCTCCTACAAATTGCTCCATGATGTCTCAATACATATAGGATGGTACAGCAAATGATGCATCGAATAATGACAAACCAAAGTTGTTTATTTTATTAACAAGTTGCATTACTTCATTAGCTGGTGTACATCACTAGCGACTTACCTGATGTTAAATCTAAATTATGCCTGTCTTCCTCTAGTCTGCGAATTTTTTCTTCAATTTCACTTCTCATCTGGTCAAATAATATTACTTTATCACTCTGAAATAGAACAATTTTAAATAATAAATTTTTACAGGTTAGTTATTTCAAATAAAACAATATTAACGTATTGAAGCTATATCGTTGAGAGTAAAAAATTAGTAAACATGATAATACTAACTTACATCATAATTTTCTTTTGCAGCTTTTTCTTCGCACTCGTATTTATTTCTAATATTCGTTTGTTTTAACTGGCGTAGTACACCTGCTACTTGGGTGCGAATCTGTGCATTCTGTTGTAACTGCTCTAAAGGACTGAGGTATTCCTCTGCATGACCAAGCTTCACTTCAACAAGTTTGGCATCCAGTTGGCATACTCTTTCATGGCATAACCTGTTTTTGTATTAGGGGAACAAAATTGAGTGTGATACACTGTGATACACTTCTCTTAAGAATTCCAATGAACTGTTCATGCAAAACATTTTTGTAATTTTTGATGAGAAATAAAATTCACAAAAATAAGGCAGCTTATAGTATGTGAAAGAGAAGGCTGTGCATATCATTACTAGAGACAAGCCATTAAGAATGTCACAGTTCTCTCTCTTCCAGCTCTAGGATGAATAAGTGTATGTCTCAGGTTCTACACTGAACTTAAATGTCCTTGACTTCTAGAAACTTAACATGCATGTGTTTGTCTATAATGCTATGTTGATAAAAGATAAAACAAAATGGTTGCCAGTCAGTCATCTTGGATTTGATTATGACACAAATCAACTGTCATTGACAATTGTCTTCGACCTAATTAGACATTTGTCAATTTGAGATTTACCGGTAAGCAGAATTGTGAAGAAAAAAACAAGAATTGACAATTTTGGTCTGATTGAAAATTATGACATTAAAGAAATTCATTGTTTATGTTTACTATACTAGTATTGTTTATAAGTCAATTATTGTGCCACATGAGAACAAAAAATTATTGGTGAATAAAGTTTTTATTTGGAATGAATATACAAAATACTTCTACTACAAGCTTACATACATTATAATAATTGATGCAATTATTGTATACTGAAACAGTAAAATACAACTTTTAATATTTTGACCATAGACATATTGCTGTCATTTACATAAGCATATGCGCTACTAATAGAGAAGATACAGTAATTACAGGATACCAACATAAACTGACAGTTGTAATTTTTGCATTGAAAATGAATGCTCAAGAAAATTATTTCAAAGTACTGATACATCACATGACCAAGATTCAGAGAGTGATGGATACTGACACATAAAAATAATCAATATGAAGATTACTATCTATTCGCATCACAAAAATAGAAAAATATGTTTACTCACTGTTCTTTAAGATCTGTGAACTGTCTTTCTAAATCAGTCATATCATCGAGGCATTCAGTTCGTCTTCTGTCGCAGTCCTCCTCATCCATATCTGAAATGAACAACAATAAATGAAATTTGATTTGATTACTAAAAAAGGGTTAATTTTGCTGATTTCGCTGAGTGGAAAATGCACTAAATTAAAACCCAGTGAATATGCAAAATTGAGCAGAGAACACATTATCTAAATGATAAAACCGTGAATTTGAAACCCACTGAATATGCCTGAAACGGTTAATCAGCGAAATTTAAACCCAGTGTAAATTAGTCATTTTACAGTATAATATCCAGTACATGGGAGTCAATCCCGTGGTTCTATCCTAAATGCAAGTGTCTTTCCAGTTGTTATTTGTAATATGGTTGATGCTACTGTGATTGTTGTTTCATTGATCATGCCAAAGCAAGACAGATCATTCACCGCAAAATAGCTTACTTTTTCTGATGAGTACCGGTAGTTATTTTTTGTTTAAAGGCAATAATTACCCAGATAATCGAGCACTCATCGGTGTTCAATATCATATGGATGCTAACCTTAAACATCAGAGTGTATGTTGAAAATCACTCTTCTAAGCGAGCATTTCTTAAAGTTTAGTAACCTTATTATAGTAGTAAAATCTAATGATTTACAAATAAACTTCAAAAATCAACATACTAAAAATAAACTGTTAGTTCTTGGCATCTCTGAGAAACAATTGCATATACAATGAAGGAAAATGGTTTCTTGTTCTGTTTGAAGTTTGCAGCTAGTCCATTTTGAATTGAGTTTTATTTGCTTATTATTGAGTTATTCATTCATATTTTAGCTTGTATCGTCTCCCTTTCATGTTTTAATTTTTGTTGTTTGATTGTTTTGGGCAAATTTATTTATTAAATCAGTGTTCTCCACAAAGGGTTTCAACTAGCCAGCCTTGTAAAATGTTGTTTGAGAAATTTCCATTGAATGAATTTGATTGCCACATGTACATGCATATGCACGCTGATGAAATGCAAGTGGCAATAAACAAGTTTGTGTAGAATTTGCCAAGAAATACGAATTCCACATTCTCGCCAAATATGTGAAATTGCATAATGCAATTTTAATATTACCACCACTCATGATTAGCCAGGGTTTTATGGACAGAGGGTCATGAAACAATTTAAATATTACGTAGAACCTATACGGTATACCTAAATATCACAATCATCAAAATATGTCCTTGGAGCCACGAAACCACGACAACATTCATGGTTTAATGAAAGTTGCATATACAAGTATATTTATCTACCTTTGAAACTGTAAACCCAATAATATATGTTTTCTCTATTTTTACTGCGATGTAAAAAACGGAAATTATAGTAATAAATTGTTCATTTAATTATTTGGAGTTTCAGCCCTTTCAACGAGACTGCCCTGACAGTGTTCGGGAATGTGTTTTTTTTTTTTTTTCACAATTACCCCTGTTGTAAATTTCCCTCGGATTGGTTATTCACCAGCAAACTGAATTCACACAATTAGTCAATTTTGTGTGGCTCTGACGTTACTATGTGTACTGCAATATTATCATGGGCATATCAGTGGAATGATTCATTCGGGCCGATGACCCGACCAACTCAGGAGATCACACAACACCATTACGATTAAACACACAACAACATGAACAGTGACAACAAACACTACCCACCAGAACTGTCTTCCTCATCTTCGTCCGATACGGCAGAGCTGCTGTCAGTGTCGTCACTTGTTTTTTCACTGTCGGGTGTTGACTGCTCGTGATCCATATCTTCCGTCTCACTGTCAGCAGTTTCGTCAATTGATGGCATTTTGAAGAACGATTTTAGTCTTAATTTTTAAAGAAAACAGTGATGGCTCCCAAATTCAAAGGGTACGACACACAGACACCACGAGGTGAACTGCGCATGTACGGAAGTAAACGAGTCGGTAAAAGCGCGCCATCGACGGTGACGTTGATGAGACAATCGGGAAGCTGTCCCTGAAAATTTAATACTAGTATTTTGCTAGTATTCCTGGGGAAAAACACTAATTCTTCGTAAAATAAAAATAAAAGTGAAATTAACATCGCTATAGATATTACAGATAACGCTTTAACGACAATTAATATTACAAACTCTCGCGAGATTAAACAAGGCGCGTGGTTGGCTTGAAGTTTTTGGCCGGAGTGTACCATTTCAGAATGTGGGCGAAACAGCGTATTGAATAAAACGGTAAATGCGAGATGTCGTTAGTCAGCGCTATAATGGTACAATAAAACACTTAAATTAAGGTGGTTATTACATGAAATGATGTCTGCATACGGGGATATACGTTTAAAACGTAGTCCATAATGTCCTTAAAAGAATCGCCACCCCTCTGACGTTATAGGCACGGACAAACGCAGTGTTGGTACCGACAGAATTTCGAACATCGGCTGCTACAAGCAACACTTAGTTTATTCAACACGTTCTACAAAATTTTAATAATTTTGTATATTACAACTAAAGCTCACAGTGTGTACAACGTTATCTGCAACATTTCGCTTTAAATCTGAGATTCAAATTTGAAGATGCCGAGAAGCAGCGATAAGAGAGGATCCGGGAAAGGAGGCAGATACAAGAAAGTAGAGCCACTCTGGTTAGTACAGTCCTTAATTTTTTGGTCAATTTCACAGAAGTGTATGATTTCGTTTCTTTTCGTTTCTGTTTAATGTAATGAGACTATATTTCCGTTGATTTGTATTTTAATTTGTAAATTTGTATTCTTTCGAGTGTCGTGTACATTGTCTGTCGCTTTTTGTTATTTACAAAATGGTGGTTGTACACAATGTAAATATCGCACAACGCGGATGACAAGTATCCGAGAAACACTTAACAGTCTGTAATCCTGGTATATAGTTATTGATAACAAAGTCTCTTGAATGGTGAACTGATCTCAGTAAATTGAAGTTAATGAATTGACAATATTTCTTTCTCAGGCTTCACTGTGATAATAGAAAAAGCAGTAAATCAAACGACCTTGCTGCATGGGCAAGTGTCGATCAATGTGAAACAAGACGCCTTCATTTGCCAACCATTGAGTCTGAACTATCAAAGTTCAATAAACCATGCCAGGCTCTAAATATGCAAAGTGCAACAGTGGCTGAGAAGCAAACTGGGCTTCTATTTCCACCTATTCATCAATTCGATAATCGATCACCATCATTGCCAAAGATTGCTTTAGAGAATTCAGAACCAGCCCACAATATCATCATTGGATCACCAAGAGCATCTGCTGGTGTCTATACTCGCACCTTTGAGCACAGTCTACTAAAGAAAAGCGGTAAACGAGACAGAATCAAACTTCCAAAGCTCCAGATCAGAATTAACAAAAGCCTGACAGTTGACCAGGCATCTTTGAATCCCAGGTGAGTGCCATTGAGAATATTTTTTTATTAATCAAAAAAATAACAATATAGTAAATTGAAGGAGAGAAAGAAAAGTCTAAGTAGTTCAGAAGCAGAAAATAGCTTGAAGCTAGTCTAGTCCAGTCCATTCTTGTATTTGTTGATTTTATGTACAGTACATGTATTCAATGATTGATATTTTCTTCACTACTTTGTATCACAACAATTTTAACCTTATTGAAACTTTTACTTTTTCTGTACATGACTAGGGCTTTAACTCCACCACTTCCATCACCAGCAAAACTGCCACCAATTGACGTCGGTCAAATGCCATACATTCCTGTTAACATAATGGATTCTCGATCCAAGTCTTCACCAGCTCGTCGACATATTCTCAGTGCCAACAGATTTCCTGAACTGGTTATTCATGGTAACAATGCTCCACGATGCAAAATTGATATTGAGAACAAAATGTCCAAAGCTGACAAATCTAGCCAACGTCGAAAGATGGTGCATGTTGAAATGCACCTTCTCCGATAAGAACAATTTATCACGCAAGACACCAAGTGTTTACCATCATACTTGGTGGAGATGGCGAAGTAACAACCAATCGCCAATTTGATACAATCAGAACAGACATTGAAGGACTGAATTTCTCCATGCTGTCATAAAACGAAAAAATATGACAATAATTGTTTTAAAAACTTGATATTTCATTGAAAATTTAAATCATGAAAAAATTGTTTTGACCTTATTACAACATTTTATAAAGAAGAGTTAAGTTATACTGGAAGTAACCTTGTGGTAACTTGCATATACAGTTTCACTCAGAAATAAGCTAATTTTTATGAAGAAAACCTAATAATTGTCATTGTACCATTACCGTACCCTTGCAGGACCTTCCCTGTACAATAGAAATACAAATATTCAATCCAGTTTCGTAATCTCCCAAACAAATTCATGAAACCTCAACCTAGTATTTGTCGCTGTACAAAAATTTGATCAACATACATTTCAGATGGTGAAAATAAAAAGAATGAACTACGCTACTAAAGTAAAATGCTTAGGGAAAAATTAAGTGTAAGTAAATGTGGCAACTAAAATACTATATTCAATGTGAAATCAAATACAAAGTACATGTATTCTATGTCAACTAAGAAGTGCAGCTACTTTTTGTACAATGACACCTATTCCACCACTCTGTCTCTTAGTTCATGAATTATACTGCTACAGTAGTCAATAAACCATTGTGAATTGTAGTTGCTAGTTGATCTAACAACCAGCGAGCAACTTTATTGCCTTCTGTTGGTGACGGTTATTGTCCACTGATGCTGTTTAGTAGTTTTTTGCACCTAAATGTCATGTTGTTCTAGCTTTTGACCATTGTGTATTTTAGTAACTAGTTACCGGTAGTTTCCCAACTACCTAGTTGCTGCTTGCCTTCTGTTGGTGACGGTTATATAGCTAGATACCAGTGTAGCAACTGGATGCAATCAGACCCACAGTAATAGGTGTTATTTTACAGAAAGTTATTATACATCTTAGTTGACATAAATAGCATGTGATTTGTATTTCAATACATTCCACACAGTACTCTGGTTGTCAGGACGACTTGCATTGCAACTTTGTTCTTAATTTTCACTTTTCAATTTGAATTCCATTTGCAAGCAAACATAAGACATCAAAGTTCATTCATTCTTATCAAAGCTACAGCAATAAATGCAACACTTGCATGTCCACCCCACTCCCCTACACCACCAATATAATTCGACACCCACTCTTGGTTTCCTCCATACAGAATAGCTTTCTTTCTCACAAATGCTAAAACAAGAGCTTAATAGTATACAAAAGGTACTTCCGGGAAAATACTTCTCCAGACACCAAAGTTTTTACATCAATATTTATTGAATTTTCATGAAATTTGTAATGGAACATTCAAGTATTTAAGTAAAGTATAAAAGTAATTTAATGCAATATAAGTATTAAATGTATTATCACTTACAAACTGGTTTCAAGTGTTTTATTAAGCATTAATCACTTCCAGGGCTCATTACAACTAAAGGTTCAGACAACGAAGAACAGAATCAAATGTTCAGAATGCTCCATCATGGAACCTCAGTTCATAGAGGGACTGTAATGGGACGTTATATACTGGTAAACTAAATGTCCTGTTTTCAAGTCTGACTTGTTTTCTCAAGTCAAATCACCTTGTTCTCCTCATATACTGGGCACCCTATTGTTTCGTAAACATACATTGAAAAAAAGTCAGCAAACTGGCTAACCATTCAGCTGAATGAACTTTTAACTTTGGTGTCTACACGCTGGGTCATACTATTATTGGGCCCATTGACTACTCACAGGAATTTACCAAAGATCGTTTTTTGTTACATGTATGTACCGTAGTGATCAAGATCAATGCGCCGACATGTAAATACCCGAGTGTTCCAAAGCACACATACTCCAGACATTCAAATTCTTCATAGCTTGCTGGGGAGGTATCTTTCAGTATCTCTATTTGTATTCCTCTGTATTCTGTAAGCAACAGTGATACATGTCGCTCATGTAAAATTCAGAGTTCAATAATGTTATCCGATCACTACATTAATTTCGCAGCATTCTAATAAACCAATCCTCTCATAAATATTCATATATTCTGTATTTTGCTGCGATAGATTATTCGTAACTGGTACATCTTAGTGTTACATGTATTTTTGTTGGTTGTATAAACCATTTCTGATTTTAAGTAGTTAAGGTGGTTGGTGAAGTGGCAAACTAGTGCATTGTGATAAATATTCATGTACTTATGTAATAATAACATAATCATATAACAAGTGAAATGTGTGTTGTTAAAATGATTTGTACCCGTATACGTATTCACCAAACATTCATCAGGTTGAAATTATACATTAAAATTAACAGTTCAACTGTTAGCTGGTTTGTACGTTTACAAAACATGACATCCAGTGTAAATTGTTCTAGGACTTTTATACAGATCACATGACATCAAAGATGCAAGGCTGACCATATTTTACTGCAGTGGGTGGAGCTGCATGAGTGGCTTACTTGCATAAATTAATATTCGAGACCAATAACAAACTAATCTTTTTTCAGTAAAACTGCAAAAATGCTCTCCGATAACCAACATGGTAGTTATAAATCAACCGATTCTATCGTTACGAGCTGAAAACAAAAACTTGTTTAAAAGTGCATTTTGAAACACGTTTCGTTTACTAGTAATAAGTTTCTTAATTAGTATGCATTTTGAGTAATCACTGTGTGTGCATGCAGTTTGAAACAATTTTGCAATTAAATAAAATCACACATAGAAATCACTCCTGCATTAATAGCACCAAACTAGTTGTCGGTTGAATTGTTTTGCAGTAGACACAAGTTCAGGACCTGTATATTTTTATGCAACATTTCTAAGTTTGTTCTGTATTCTGTAATGAAATCGCCGAAATGATTTCATTTATCGATGATCGCCTGTGAACGACTGACTTTAAAATGTTCCATCCAAATCAGTCGAGACCCTCTTGTGCCTACTCTTCTGCACTAAGAAGAAACCACAAAGGTTTGATTTGAGCTCACACATTTTATCCAACAGCCATACTGCTATGTACATACTGAGCCATTTCATTCTAGATGTATTCTTAATTTGATCATTATGTAGATAATGCTTGCTTAAAAATATATCGGTAGCTGAGCTTTATCGTATACATTTAAAAATAAAATCTACCTAGGTTATTTTGGCCAGGAAGCTCCATTTATATGCACCAATGCCCAGTTTCCTAGTGTTCTTAGAATGGCCACAATGAGAACATTTAATTCCCTAGGATGTTTATATACAGACAAGGCAATAGTTCAGGAATTCAAATTGATGGGTTAGACCTCTCTGCTGGAGATACAGACCTTTAACCTTGCTTTCAAGCATCATGAATATCCACAAGTTAATTATTTTGGCTACATACTGCAAACTAGGTTAATTTTCTTTTGAAAATCACAAAGTTTGTAGCAGGGAAAATATTATTGGGGTTCTTTGGAAAATAAAAAAAAATACTAATCAAACATCCAGTAAGCAAATCAACTAAGATTTATTTTAACATCACATAATAAGTATTGACAATGCAGAAACAATGATGCTTTAAACATAAATAATTTCCCAGCTTGATAATGAAAGTTATCAAGTTTTCAGTGCTAGAAGCTGGTTATTAATCTAAATACAAACCAAAAAAACTGTTTGAATATGCAACTGCACTGGTTCATGTTTCACAAAAAACAAATGGCAGCCATATTTTACCTATTGAAAAATGATGCACACATGGACTTGTAATATTTGCCCGTGTTTTCTATCAAATTCAGACAAATTTCTAATTATGGAAAGTAATACGAGTGGGACTAGGACTAGGACTAGGGCATGAAGGTGACCAGTGATAGAAGACAGCTACCAGGTCGAGATAAAAAAAACTTGGTACAAGTATAGGTTGCCCAAATTGTTTACAGGTCATCCTATTGGAGCTG